AATAATAAATAAATATTAAAAATTCCTGCTGGAGAAATACTGATACATTCACTATAATGACAGAATGATGCAATGTTTAACCTTTCTTTAAATTCTGTTCAGATGAAATCTTGGGGTATCGTTCAGTTTTTGTCTAGCATGTGGAGGCCCTAGGTTCAATCTTCTTCCAACCAAAAAATTCTCCACCATGAAAAACATGTTGAGGTCTGGGAATGTAGTGCAGTTGTAGAGTGCTTGCCCAGCATGTAGGAAGTCCTAGGTTCAATTCTTAGCACCAAATACACCTCGGGTGTGGTGGCACATACCTGTAATCCCGGCGCTCAAGAGGTAGAGGCAGAGGGACCAGAAGTTCAAGGTCATCCTCAGCTACATATCGAGTTTGAGGTCAGCCTGGACTACATGAGACCTTGTCTTAAATGAATAAAAATAAATAAATGAAAATGCTGAGGAAAAATGAAACAGATGAAACAAAAAGTACACACTGAAACTGCCGGATCTAGGTGACGATATGTGGTGTGGACCTTGCAGCAGTACTAGCCCATGTGCTATAAATTGGGGGTTTTCCCACTGTTTCCCATAACAGCACTTAGAAAAGATGCTATGAAGAAATGAACAGAGATGTGCACATATGAACCACCCTTCTTCATATCAACCAATGGAATACAGGTGAACTAGAAGCTAAAGGTGCTGTGTTCTATCTACCAGAGCATCTGTTTCACAGTAGCATTCCATCTGAAGATTGAAAGAGAATTCCGACACTCTACACTTCTTTTATTAGGCAACATGGACTACATACTTATCAAGAATAGGAAAGTCTTTCCAATGGATCTACAGATTTGATGCAGAATATTCTAGATACTCTGGCCAGGACCAGAATCAGAGTGAGACAGTCAGCCATCAGAACATTGCCTAGCTCCTGACACTTCAAAAATAAAACATAAGGCATACCTCAAGCAGCAACAAGACACTGATCTGAGAGTCCTGATCTGCTATGAGGGAGAGCAAGGGCTCCCTAGCCAACACAAGAAAGAGAGCAGCAAGCTGGCCTGGACAAAAGTGAGCTGCAGGACAAAAGCCCTCAGCCCTCGACAGAGGTCAGGTATCCAAAACCAAATCCATTCATTTTATACAGTTGGTTGTCCTGACGAAGGGTGACATAAACACTAAGGATCTGATGGCCTCTTGGGGGTCTCACAAGATGATAAAAGCACAGCCTTGGGGCTGAGGACGTAGCTCAGTTGGTAGAGTGTTTGCCTACCACGCACTAAGCCCTAGGTTCAATCCCCAGCACTGCATAGAACTGGGCCACACACCTGTAATCCCAGCACTGGAAGGTAGAGGCAGGAGGATCAAAGTCCAAGGTCATCCTCAGCTATATGATGAGTTCAAGGTCAGCTTGGGCTACATGAGACCCTGTCTTTAAAAAAAAAACCCTGCAAAACAAGAAGCAAAGCAAAACAACATATTTTATGTCATTTTTGTGAAAGGTCATTCAACAGCTTCACCAGAGAACTTCATAATTCCCCTCAGGACGGCAAAACTGGGTTCATTCCTTATTCCCTTCTTTCATCTTCAGAGACTGAGGTTCAGAGCCACTAATGGACTTGCTCTCACACAACAGTCGTCTGACTTTGGAGACAGCATCTGTGTCCGTAGCCAGCCCTCCCTTACAGCGTTCTCCTTGGGAAGGAGAAGGCAAGTGCTCCCTAAAGACAATGAAATGGGGCAGAATGGAGGAAAATCAGCATCAAGACCAACACTCCAGAGCTTCCAAGCACCCTTCAAGGCTTACTATAGATCCTCCCCTGTGTGCAGTCTGGTCTTAGTTCTGAGCAGGGCACTGCCATTGATGACGCTCCACTGCAGCCCATTTTTCTATGAGCTTGCCATTTCTGCTTTCCGAACCAGGCCAAAGTTTCCTAATGACTTGCTTAACCTCAGAAACAGAAATATATATATTAATACCAGGAGGAATGGCCGCATCCATGTGGCTGGGAGGCTGACTTCTGTTCCCCTCTCCATCAGTCAAGAAAGTCAGAAGGAAGAGGAATCACCAGGGCCACATCACAGCCCCCGACTCCCAGGGGTCACGGAGCCCTAGTAAGAGCAAGGCCTACCTCTCTGACTTCATGAAGTTGGCCGGAATACTGACTCTTGGCTCTTCGGGCAGCTGCAGGCGACTTGTGATGCGTGATTGTGACAACACCGGGGGCCCCCGCACTGAGGTGTCTCTGGCTACAGGGAGACGCAGAATTGGGTGTTCCATGGGGGAGCAAAGTGAGACTTCGGCTTCGGGAGCTTGGAGTATTCTAGAATAAGCAACAGGTGTCAAAACTCAACAACTGGCCTGAAGAACATGACTGTTGCCTTCCATTTATGTGGGACCTCTTATATCTTTCCCCTTGACCTGGTTAGAAGGATGAAGGCACAGGAGAGGTCTAACTGTACTTGTCCCACACCCACAAGGACTCACTTGAGAAAGAATGTCCACAAACTTTCTTGTTTCTAATTGTGTCTTCTGTCTTTATTATGGCCATGAAGAGCTGCCTAAGAGCCATGTCCCCAACACCATAGACTCAGGATCTGTTTCTATACTTGTCACTTCCTCTTTCTGGGAAGCGCTTCCTGCCTGGATGGCATAACTCAGGTGAACCCTCACATTCACTTTAGTATCTGATCCGGAAAGCATCTCCCTAGTTTTCCCAGGCTCTCTGTTTATCACATTCACTGGTTACTTTGTTCAGAGATTCATTCACACTTGTCCTTATAGCCCAAGGTCTGACAGACACTGTTTACTAAGTGCCTAATAAATGTTTACCTTATGAATAAGTGCACTAAGCTATCTACTGCATTTGTTAGCAAAGTGCTTACATTTCACACTACAGTTACATAGTATCCAAATTAGAATTTAATCTGTGATGAAAAAAAAAAATGGTGTCTCAACTTAGTAGAAGTGAATTTTTTCAGTAACTGGGCAGCCAACTGAAAAACAAATCTGAATTCATTTCTCAGAGCAAAGATCCCAAGTGGATCAAAGAGGTTTAGAAGAAGAAAAGAAAGCACCCAGACACACAGGCACGAAGAAAACATGTAGGCAAGACCTAACACTTTAAAACCCAAAAATCATAAAACAAAAGCTTAATAAATTTAGCTACCCAAAGAGTGAAAATTGGAACCAGGCATGGTGGTGCAGGTCTTTAATCCCAGCACTCAGGAGGCAAAGGCAGGGAGATCTCTGCGAGTTCGAGGCCAGCCTGGTCCACATAACAAGTTCAGGTCAGCTGGGGCTACAGGGGCACCCTATCTCAAAAAGACTTAAAGAAAAAGAAAAAGAAAAAGAAAAAGAAAAGAAAACTGCAAAGAAATAAAAAAAAAAAAGCCACTAGTATCACCAATAAAACCAAGTGACCAAAAAAAAAAAAGTAAAGCTTTTAATTTTTATTCAGTAGTTCAAGATATAAACAGGCAGTTCACAAAAAATACAATTGACATTTAAGTCATACTAAAAAATGTCTCACTATATTCAAGAGACAAAGGAAAACCAACTACACTTTTTAAGATTTATTTTTCTTTATTATTTATGTATGCATCTGAGACTGTGTGGGCCACACATGTGCCAGTGCCCAAGGACACAAAAAGAGAGGGGCTGGGTCCCCTGGATCAGTAGTTACAGGCAGTTATAAACCACAAAATATGGATGCTAGGATCTGAACTCTGGTCCTCTGTAAGAGCATTGAGTCATTGCTCCAGCTCCCCGCCCCCCACCAAAAAAAAAAAAAAAAAAAAAAACCCTAATTTAAACACCATTTTTCATCCATCATAGAAAAAGTTTGAGCACCAGTATGTCAACAGGGTCACAGGGAACTGAGCCTGTGTGGACTGGATAAAAGGAGGCTGCCCTCCCTGAGGAACAACCTGGCAGATTTACTGCAAATGTCCTCTTGAGGTGAGGCAATTCCCCTTTCCTGGGAACACAGCCTCCAAATGGACCTAGAGGCTGGTAAAACCCGTATGTCGCTCCTTTCTTCGTGTCCCTGTTAGTCACTGCAGCAGTGCAGCTGAGGACAAAGGCTGTTAACCTGCATGTCTATCAGCATGGGGCAGGTTATGTAAGTTAAGGTGTAGCTACATAATTAAATACTACTGAGTTTTAAGGAAATACAAAGATTTCTGTGAATTGACCTTGAAAAAAAATCTCTAAGTTATAGAGTTAATTGTAAAAAGCACGTTGCAAAAATTGTGCAGCATGCAAAGCTCTGTGTTAAAATAGGGGAAACATTTTCATTATGGTTGAAAATCATTTCTACTTTAAAACACAGGAAAACTTTTCAAGGATACCCACAAAATTAATCAAGTGGATGTTAATTTATAGAGAGCCAGGAGTAGGAGAGGGAAAAGCAAGGAGAAACAGAGATTCTTTTTTTTTTTTTTAACTATAAAGCTTTTCTTTTAATTATTTCATTTTGAACCATGTGAATGCATTACCTAATCACAAATTTCTATTTCCACATAACATTTACATTCTGATTGCATCTATGCATGCTTAGTCTGAGAAAATTCAGGTAGATGATGTTAGAATCATGCCAGCTTCTGTGAGACAATTATAAGTATTTACTGAAAACCTACTGTGTGCTTAGCAGTATCCCTACTGTGAAATGTCTTGTCGGTGTTGTGACATATATAGTAATAGTCACACACACATACTAAGCAAAGCAGTTGGGGGTTGGGGATGTGGCTCAATTGGTTGAGAACTTGCCTAGCATACACAAAGTCCTGGGTCAGAGCTGCAGCACTGCATAAACCAGATGTGGTGGTACATGCCTGGAACGCCAACACTCAGAAAGTACAGACAGGAGGATGGGAAATTCAAGGCCAGGCTGGGCCACATGAGACCCTGTCTCACAAAAGAAAAGAGTATATAATAAGATACTAATTTGGGACCATAGTAGAAAATATCAACGAACCGAGGAAGAGTAGATTTTACCACAGAAAGATGTCCTGAGGCTAAAGGGGGTGCTCAGCAGGTAAGAAAGCTTGCTGTGCAAGCATGAGGACCTGACTTGGACTCCCCAGCACCAACATAAAAACCAGGTATAGAGGAGTATCTTGTGGCTCTAGAGCTGGGTGGTGAGGAGACAAGAGGATTGCTAGGGCTTGCTGGCCAGACAGTCTAACCAGAAAACAGCAAGCTCCAGGTTCAATGAGAGAAGGAAAGACATAAGGCAGCAATGTCTTCCTCTGGCTTCTGGGGACCCAGGGAGGTACACACACACACACACACACACACACACACACACACACACACACCACACAAATAGCAACAACATCCACAAAGATATCCTAAGGGGGAAGCTCTGGAGTTGGACTTGGATTTGGGACCATAGGAAACAAGAGACTGAAACACATGGTGGTCCAGACTATCTGGGTATTTCTACAACCTTGAACTCAGGCCTAAAAAATAGATACTCTACAGATGATCAAGAGACTGAGAAGTAGGTAGGAGCCAGGGTAGAAATCAGAATTCTGGGTTACTCTGAAATGCCACAGGAGTTTGTAAAGGCTCTCTGGATTTAATTTTCAAATACCCAATAGAAATACAGACAAAGACGGGGGTGGGCAGGGTGCAGCTTTATAGTGGACTTATGTGCAGGCACCTGATGAGATGTGTGGCCTGGGAATTACATCCATCTTGATCACAATGAACATAACACAGCATCATTACTTTCTACCTCAATCTTTTCACTTGGAGTGTGGAGGAGTAAAGAGGCTCTTTCCCTAATCCTTTAATAACAGTAAATTTGCCTAAGTATCAAGAGTCCACTGAAATACATTTTGATTGTTTAGAAGGCTTATTCCAGTCCAAGAAAAGGCAGATTTTTTTTCCCTGGGCTTTAAAGTCAGACACACAAGTTTTATTTCCCCAGCTCTGCTGTATTCTAGCCATGTGACCTTGGGTGAGTTATTTAAGCTTTTTCATTAAGCATCAATTTCTTAATCTTTAAAAGAAGAATATGTTGACCCTTAAAAGCTGCTGTGAAAATGAAGTTATATCAAGCACATGAAATGCTTGGCACAGATCCAGGTGGAGTCACACAGCTTAAGTTGGTTTCTTTATATCACTTAAAACTTGATCACTGAGGGTCCTATTGATTTTTTTTTTTAATGTTAGGAAGTTCCTTAGCCAAAATTATATCAGCTTCTGAGTTCTTTATTTCATATAGGATTAAAGTGGTGAGGAAACTCAGAATATAATTTAGTGTTTATATGAACAATAATTATATCAAAACTATAAGGGAACGCACACACCTAAATTCTTTCTTTCTTTCTTCTTTTTTTTTTTTTTTTTTTTTTTTGGTTCCTTGTAGCCCCAGGTGGCCTGGAACTCACTATGTAGATCAGGCTGGCCTCACACATCTGCCTGACTCTGCCTCTTGGGTGACAGGATTAAAGGCATGTGCTGCCACACCTAGCTCTTTTTGTTTTTTAAGAGACAGGGTCTCATGTAGTCCAGGCTAGCCTCAAACTCACTATGCAGCCAAGGATTACCTTGAGTTTTTGATTCTCTGCCTCTGCCTGCTGAGTGCTAGAATCACAGTTGTGTCCACTATGCCCAGTTTATGTGGTACTGGAGTCTGACCAAGGGCTTCATGTGTGCTGCAAGCACTCCACTAACTGAGTCTCATCCCAAGACCCATGCTTCTAAATTCTGAGTAGAAATAAAGACCCATCAGAAATCAAAGAACCTGTCACTTGGGAGATAGAGCAAGAGGGTCAAGAGTTCAAGGCTAGCTTCAGCTAATGTTGCAGGTTCAAGGCCAGCCTGGACTCTATGAGATCCTGTCTCAATAATCCATCTTGATCACAATGAACAGCCATTACTTTCCATATCATTCTTTTCACTTGGCAAAAAAAAAAAAAAAATCAGAAACAAACACAGCTGTGTAGCCGACACCTTTGCCCATAGCAGTATCAACATGACCGGCAAGAAATTCACCCAGAAACCAAACCCTTCCGTGGATGGCTAACCCCACATTCATTACTCAGTGGCTGCCATTTGAATTCAGAAGTAGTGAATGTGAGAAAAGGAGAAATAAGCCCTTTTATTTTTCCATCTCTGTGGAATTCACATGCCTTCATTCACACTGGAGCCTTCTCTCAGGGTAAATATATGAGAAGGAAAAAAAAGCTGAATGGATAAATCCCATGGGTAAACTGGAGAAAAAAATGGGGAGTAGAGAGGCAGTAAATCACAAACACAAAATGAACTACAAATGAACAAGCCTTCTTTCCCTCGGTACAGCCTGGCTAA